GACCCTTCAGCTGACTCCTCAGCCCTCCTGCCCCATCTCTCAGTCCCAAAGCCTTCAGCAGTGATCCTCCCCAGGCTCTACTGATCCCTTCGGAGCAGAGACCAGACCTCTAACACACTAGTTTATTACTCACTTTCCTATGAGCAATGCAGTTTTCTTTTCCACCTCTCCTTGGGGACACATTGACTTCTCTTCTTGCACAGGGAAATAAAAGCTGTAAGGCAAACAGCAAAGATGGCAACTGCCCTAGCCTGGGCTGTCCTACTGATCGCTGTAGGTACAGACACCAAAAAAACCTACCTCAAATCTTCTAATTTACTTATATTCTGAGCTCCTCCCACCCCTTGGATACATCTTCACTGGGGAAAAAAGTGCATTTTTAGCTCATTACTTAACCCCAGGCTCTCCCACAGTTTTTAGCATATTCTGCTTACGTGTTTAAGTTACAAATTTGCCTCATCTCCATTACACTTTTGCCTTGTGTTAGTCACCACCAGAGCTGGGTGAATAATGGATTTTTCAGATCACTGAAAATTTAGGAAAGTTAGAGAAAAGTTCATTTCAATTTTAGCCAGCTTCACATGTTTTACATTCCTTACGATAAACAGAAAGGCATTCTCTAAACAAAATTGTTTCCATGTGGAAACATTTTGCTATGAAACAAAGCATTTTGAATAGTGAAATCCACAAAAATCAACTGGTGATTGATCTGGTGGTGGGGAGCAGGAGGGAGAGGAAGGTAGGCAGAAGGTTCATGGGGGAAAAAAAATAATGAAAAATGTTGTTGAGCTCTGGTTCCCACGTGCAAAGAACAAAACAGCTTTTATCCTCATAAAGCCGAGTCTTTCAGGCTCACGGGTTATGATCTAAGGTTTTAAAAAATCCCAGGCCTAGAGAAACACCACCAGAAAAAAAAGCCCCAAAGCATTCCTGCACAATGTCACCGGGCTCCCCCATCCGTGGTGCTGTAGGAGGGATCAAGTGGTGAAATTCCAAAAACCAAGGTGATGGAGGTCTGACACCACTTTGCCAACCTGCCTCATCCGCCACTGGTGTGACCATCCAGCACCATTTCCTATTTTGAGACTGAGACATCCCAGAAGGCATCAGAAAGGGCAGAAAAGACCAGCCTCTTGCCTCCACTGGAACTTTGAAAATACACTCACAGCTGTATGTACCTCTCTTCCCAGGAGGTATAATACCACACCATCACGGCAAACACCACCAGCAGTGCGAGTATCTTCCAACCTACACAGGGAAAGAGACACAGAAAATGCTGTAAACCCAGATGATGGCAGTAGGACTATAGCACACAAGAACTAGAACATCCAAGAGATGTGCATGTGAGTGTGTACACATGCACACACACACTCAGCCAAGGACTAATTCACTGATAAACAGTATTCCATCTCAGTTTGTCTGTACAAACTTGGGCATATTAACACTCAGAAAGATGCTGGGAAAAATCCCTCTTAGGAGTAAAGTTTGGGGATTGAGCTTCCAATAATCTAGCCCAATGATTCTCAATCAGGGTATCGTGGTACCCTGGGGTGCTTTGAGATCCTTTCAGGTGTGCCATGGAGTGCTAGGAAATGTTAGCAGCTAGGTGTGCAAACATGATTTACAATCTAAAATCACAGATTCCAAGTAGGAATCCAATAGGGTCAAAAACATTTTAATCTGTGGTCTGAGTGCTTTGCAACAGAAGAACCACTCTATTACTTTTCTGTAGTCAAGAAAGGAGTAGAAACTAGGAAACATTTTCCAAGCGGTGCCCAGAGTCTAAAGAGGGGTGTCTTGAGGCAATAAATGTTTAAAATCACTGGTCTAGATATATGATTCCTACAGCACCCTCCTTACTGTAGCATTTAAGCACAATGATTGGCTAAAGAAGATAAAAGCAGAACAAGATAGAAAATGCCTACCTAAGACTTTTCCTCCATCTTTCCCTGACAACAGAAGACTTTTTTCCTTGCAGCAACATTTCCAGTGCTACGTCCTGTCTAGTTTTAATGAGCCAAGCAATTGGATTTACAGCATTCTCTGGGGACGTGACAGATTGCCTGATGGTGACATCTACTGGTTTTTACTAAGTTTTCCAGTACCTAACTTCTTCCTATTCCTCTTACCACAGTCATATCCTCTCAGATTACTCCAAATAAAGTGCTTATATACCTCTATCCTGTGTAGTCAGCCCACCGCTGTATTATTGAACAGACATAATTTAGCCACAGTATATGAACTACTGGCCTGACTCTCCTCCTGCTTAGGCCTTAGGTACCTACAGTCAGTGGGCTCTTAGACCCTGATCCAACAAAGCACAGCCTTAACTTAAGGACACTGTTAGTTGCAACAAAGTTAAGTGGACAACTCCTGGCACTGACGGTTAGTGTGGGCTTACACAAACTGCAAGATCTTAGCCAAATTACTCAACACCTTGCAGGTGCAAGCCCTTTATATGGTGAAACTCAGGAGTAAATCTGCTGACTTCTCCAGAGCAGGTTTACCAGGGGTAAAAATTATGAAGCAAGAGAGTCTATTTCTTGCTAGAGTTTGAAATGCCTCCCAATTTTATGAGTTGTTTGCTCCTTTTTCAAAGCTGTCAACAGAAACGTTAAATGAAACTAGCACTGATGCCAGCCCATCCCACCCCACTCCCTATGAGGCCTGCCAGTTAGCTTGATTCATTGACGTGGTTTACAGCCTTTTAGCCGATTCCTGTGCTTGTCCCAGCCCCAGCCCTGTAGCAACAGAAACAGCAGCAGCTCCAGCCTGGGCTCTGGGGCCTGGCCAGAACTGCAGTTGCTGCATCAGCTGCTACAGAGCCCAGCTGGGGCTACAGCAAGCAACCCCTGCCCTACCTTTTTAAGGAATATTTTTTGTGTCCTAGGTCCTAGCTGGAGTACTGCGTCCAGTTCTGGGCACTTTAAGAGGGATGTGGACAGCATCGAGAGGGTCCAGAGCAGGGCCACTCGTATGATCAAGGGACAGCAGGGTAGGTCCTATGAGGAAAGGTTGCGGGACCTGAACCTGTTCA